TCACATTTTGCACGAAATCAATCCATTTTACTCGTTTTTGAGTGGTGGTGCTGGCGTTGGAAAAACTTATGTCACCAAGGCCCTTTATCAGGCAGCTATAAAGTAGTATATTACAAGAGCTGGGCATGATTTCCTTGAGATTAAAGCTGTTTTAATGGCTCCGACAGAAAAAGCTGCTTACAACATCAAAGATAATACTATACATAGCGCTCTAGCTATACCAGCTTGCCAGTCACTGAAGATTTACAAGTCTCTAGACTCCAGTCGGCCTAACACATTAAGATGTCGCTTAGGTGGTGTAAAATTGATATTCGTTGATGAAATGTCTATGGTAGGAAACACGATGTTGAACATGCAGATTAATGATAGATTAAAAGACATAAAAGGATGCAAAGAGGACTTTGGTGGTGTTAGCATTGTTGCTATTGGAGATTTGTTTCAACTCGAACCTGTCATGGATAGTCATATTTTCAGACTTTGATGACATTGAATATGGTTCTCTTGCACCAAATCTTTGGCAGGAACTCTTCAAGATGTTTGAACTTGTTGAAATCATGAGGCAAGGACAAAGCAAGGAATTTGCACAAATCCTCAACAGGCTAAGAGAAGGAAAGCAAACAGCACAGGACATCTTGAAAATCAAACAACGTACCATTCCAGACAATTCATCTGACAACCAATTCATGAACATCCCTCATTTTTTCATTTAAAATGCGAAGGTAAATGAGTTTTATAATAAAGCACATCAAGCTGCTACTGGAGTCAAAGATACAATAAAAGCTCGTGATAGTGTTGTAGGAGCCAGTTCATTATAGCTTAGGAGAAAATCATGAAGCAAATTCCAAATGATCCAAAGAAAACCAAACAGATCGTGTCAACTCTCTCATTAGCAGAGGGTAAAAGAACAGAATTAGCTATAAATATTAGGGCCGCAGATGGCATGACTAATGGTGCGGTGCTAGTAACATTGTCCAAAACATAATAGTACATCAATGTGGAAAGCCATCTGGAGTAGTATGGGTCCAGTTTGATCAGGCTGATGTTGGAGAGAAAACTCGTCATGACAACAGGCATTTATACACACAAAGGATCAAACAAGAGTGGACTCCAATCAAGCCTATCACCACACGGTTTGCTGTTGATAGAAATAGAACAGCTCAGCTAGTTAGGAAACAGTTCCCAACACGACCAGCAGCTACCAAAACAGTTGTAAATTTTTGCACAAAAAAAGTATACCCCACATTCATTATGCAGGCCTCAGCAGAGTCACCACTATAGATGGCTTATACATTACTAATTTTTGTGAAGATAAAATAATGGTTAACAAGAATCTAATACAAGAAGTGAGTCGTTTGCGCGCTGAGAGTAGTCTGCAGATTACAATGTCTCCTCCACCTAAACAAACGAATCCGTCGATCCAACTGTGCTTTCTGAATGCTAGGTCCCTTCATAGACACATGAACGATGTTCAATGTGATCTGTATTACATTTCATCTGACGTGTGTATGTTTGTTGAGACAGGATTTTGCCAATCTGACATGGATGATATGTATGCTATAGATGGCTTTACTTTGTTTAGGAATGATGGTCAGTCTCAGGGCGCTAATAGGCCTTATGGTGGCACAGCTATATACAGCAGACTAGAATTCCTACTACACTTTCCTTGTCAACACAACAGAAATGGAATTGAGATTGCAGTCGCAAGGTTATCAGTTTTGCCAAATGTAAACATAATAGTAGTTTATCGATCACAAAGGATTCCGGTCCAGCAACTGCGCCTAGTTCCCGGGACCTAGCTCTTGCTGAAATTCTTCATTTGCAGCCTTTATGAACCTACCAGATAATTATTGATGATTTTAATATAGACTGGTTTAATGTAACGGATAGGTGCGCACTTTTTAACGTGTTAATCAGAGATTACAGTTTCAGGCAGCTAATTTTACAGCACACCACAGATAGCAGAACGTGTATTGATCATGGCTACACAAATATTGCTGACAAAAATATTCTTCCATATGTCAGAGAATGTTATTTTTCTGATCACAAGCCAGTTTGTTTAATACTTGAACAGTATGATTCATTAAAGTAAAACTGTCTGAAAACTTGAAGATTGCTCACTTGCTGATTTTTTTGCCCTTCCTTTCATTTTAGACAACCAAAAGTGAGAGGAGGTTCAAAAATATCTTCTAAACGCATTCCTAGCGAGAACCGGGGTAAAAACACCGCCAGAATCATCCAATACCAATCCATACCAATCACCCAATAATATAACCCAGTTCCCACAACCATGGACAGCCAAGACTCTAGCAATGAACTTGGAACCCTTCACCAGTACTAGTAGCTGTGAGTCTTCTTCCAAGGCTATGGCTGACCAAGCTCTTACTAGCACTACAAGAAATCAGGCCTTCACTAGCAGTATGATGAATCAGTCCTTTACCCAAACTCTGAGCAACCAAGCCTCTACCAGCATTCTGGGCAATCAAGCTTCAACCGACACTCATGGCAACCAAGCCCCAAATAGCACTCCAGGCAACCAAGCCTCCATTAGCTGTCTCGGCAATCAAGCCTCTACCAGCATTGTGATCAACCAAGCATCTACCAGCATTGTGATCAACCAAGCCTCTACCAGCACTCGGAGCAACCAAGCCTTTACCAGCACTCTGAGTGACCAAGCCTTTACCAGCAATCTGAACAACCAAACCTCCTCTAGCAGTCTGACAAACCAAGTCTTCGTCAGCTCTCTTAGCAAACAAGCCTTCATCAGCGCTCTGAGCTTTCTAGCCCCCACGCTCAGCAATCAAGCCTCCAGCAGCACTGTTGCCAACCAATCCTCTACCAGCACTCTCAGCAGCCAACCCTCTACCAGCACTCTCAGCAGCCAATCCCGTACCAGTTCAATGGGTAACCAAACCTCATTGCTTATGTCCATAATGTCACTCCTGTTTTATCAAGCACAAGAACTGATGCTAAAACTGCAACAAGCAAGTATTTTGAAATGCAGTTGGAAACGAAGGATGGCGTACGACGAGGTGTTTGCTTTTCGTCGTCAAAGCTGTCAGAATTTCAGTCTGTTGAAGTAAGACAAGTCCAGTAAAACTCATCAATTATGACATTGACAGAATTGATCACAAAAGTGTACTCATGGCTGCAAGAGTGAGACTATTTGAAATGCCAGTTTCATTTCCTAAAGCAACATTGAAGTCTAATATAACTCTAGGCTCACTCTCCGCTGAAACTAATAATCAGCTCATATCATTTGATGCCAGTGGTCAAACTTCAAGGTCGCAAAAAGGTTAACACAAGATATGGCTTGAAAGAAAAGATCACTGGGTTCTTAATTGATCCTCACGGAGCAATTACAATTGAACTCTGGGAAGACTTCATTCCTCAAATTCAAGAAGGTAGCGCATACACATTCAAGAACTTGAGAGTACACAGGAACGACTATAACGAAGCCTGTTTGTTGGAACCCCTGTTGGATGTAATTGTACAATCACTCCACGAGAGGACTTCTCCCAGCCGTTGGCCACTCCAACTGACTTGCCCGATACGTTCCTTACGAAAACAACGCCAGCTGAATTTATTAGCATCAAAACATTTGCATTCTACTACTTATGCTTTAAGTGCAAAAGTAAAATAACTGACAGCACGCAAGTCATAACATAATGCAGAAAGTGCGGTCTTACGCAGAAAGTTGAAAAGTGCAAGAAAACATGCTATACTCAAGCCTTCATTGAAGAAGACGACAATACTTCTGTTACTGTAACAATGTTTCAGGATGTTCTGTTGCAAGCACTTTGTTTACCACACGACCAGCCTCTAACAGAGGACATCATAACAAGCGGCCTTCTAAGTCTACCAAAACGGAACATCTCGTACAACCGAAAAACGAAAGTTGTCTCCTCAGTACAAAGCTTGTAAGGCACTAAGGACTTTACAACCTTTACAACTCTCGATGCTCCAAGCAATTTGTTGACTCTGAAACTTTTCCCCAGTACCAATCAGTTATTTGTTGATTTTTTTTATTGCATGTTCGAACGTTCTTCTATAACTGAATTACAAAAACTGTTGCTTGCAATGCTCACTGAAGATATTTCTTAACTCCTGACTTTCATGTTACATGTTCGGTTTCGTTTGTAGTTTTCTACCCTACAGTGTAATTTACCATTCTGATCGATTTTGAAGTTGTAAATTACATTTAGGATAACGTATATTCGTTGCTTTTAGAATTTCCTGTCACGCAGAACTGCAACCAGTACTAACTAAAAGCTGCATATCTTGCATCGTGACATCAATGGAACATGTCTGGTTGCATTTGCTTGTTTCTACACTTGTTCGTGTTTCAATAGACTAGTAATCTTATGTTGAATGATATCTAATAATATCCAATCTAGTTTATGTATTCTTCGTTAAACATTGTTCAGCCATCTAAAGTGTTCGTTCCCTTATGCAAGAGAATCCACTGCACCAAAAAACCGAACCGCTGAATAAACACCATATTTGCGCTCTATTTGTGTTCCTTGTCCGTTCAGGAAAGGCAGGGTCCAGACAAAATAAATTCTCCAGCCTGCCCTTCAAGCAAGCTGCACGTAGGATGTACTAGCCCGAAACTCATTCTTACTAACCCCCCCAAAAAATTATAACTAGCCTGATTAATTAATTAGTGTTGGCTCTTGTGCTCTAGCAATCCAAGAAACTGCTTCAACTATTCCCAGAAAAGATACTATCCTATGCCACTCCCTCACTAGATCATTCATATTTCAATAGGCCATTCATTCATTCTTTCATCAACATCATTTCGAAGTAATATTTTTCCTTCAAGCAATGTATCATGAACCTATGCAATTCGTTGTGTCTTCTTCTTTTTCAAACCAGCTACGAATACAACCATGTTTCGTTTCTTGACACAGCTCACAGAAACGTATTACTCACAAATAACTCTCCTACAACGTAGACTATTTTTATGGCTGCCTTAATTATTTTTATATTGAACGTTGCAGTTTATTTTCGTCTTTAACCTTGTGACGTATTCACCACTCAAATTCGGCGACTACGTGTACCCAGGTTGGGGCCAGGCGATTGGTTGGCTGCTGATGGTATCCTCGTTAATTCTTATTCCTGCGGTGATGATATACAAGCTGTTCAAGACTACTGGAAGTATCAAAGAGGTGAACACCTGCAGTAATTTACATGAGTAGTAGGCTTAACTTCGGCATAGTTAATAAAGGGAAATGGTTAGGAAGGTAAACATCAAAGAAATTAACAAACAAACAGGCTAAAATTTGTGTTAAAGGTCCATGACACTACACATCTTTTGTTTTATGCTCATAGACTATGCATGAATAATCGCGATGCTTCGATTGGTTAGTTTTATGAGCACACATAACCACCTTTGGTATTTTGCCAGTTTTTGTGCAGGGTCAACGTCCAAAGTAGCCAAAAAAAACAAAAACTGTGTTAGTGCTCGACCAGTTGAAAGTCAGTCGATTAACAATGCCCCTTCCAGTTTGGATAAGGAAAAGAAAAGAAAACAACAAACAAATAAAATTGGAGAAGAAACGTTCTTCCCAATATATCAGCTTTGGGTAGCATTTCTAGCACGTTTTTATGTAGTCGTCTGTGTTGAATTTCGTGACTAATGAGTGATAATGAATAAATGAATTTAGCTTGTGAGACGCAGAAGAGGGGGAGATGGGGGAATGTTCCATGGATCTGTAAAGGAAGGGTACTTAAATTGGAGGAAGTGGGGTGGGGAGAAAGTGGCGGATGAAAATGAGGAGGAGGAGGAGGAGGAAGAGGAGGA